ACATGGTAGCACTTCAAAAGAGACAAATTACTGCCTTAAAAATACTATCCACATTAGTAGTGGTGCTATAAAAGGGATATTTTTCAATATAGCTGTTTTTCAATATAGTTTGACGAGATTAACCAAAATTTGCCACATTCATTTTGCCAGTTAAATTCAGAGAAGTGTTAGTGCAGAAGCTGGGTGCTGGCTCTTCTAATGGATTGTTGTGTACCATGGAAAGTATGCCTAGTCCTGAGTAAATTTTAGGTAGTTTTGGTTGATCTGTCTTCTGGGTGTTCAACATTCTGCAAGGAAACAATATCCATCTTCAGGTTTGAGGAGGCTGTTGAGGATGAGGGAGCAGTAAAGGTCCACCTTGTTCTTGAACCAGTGACTTGCCCTCATGAAGGCCTATGCACCTTTTGCTGTTTGAGCACATAGTGAAAGGACAAATTCGTGCAACGTGAGTCAAGACAAGCATTTAATTGTGAAATGCAGACTGAAGGCCACGCAGATGTTGATTGTTGCCTACTTTGTGCAGGGTCCACTGCAGTGACCTGGGTGAGGAGCAGCGTAAAACCGGTCAGTCTGTGGCTCGTAATACTGGGTACAAAGGTCTTCCACTGGGGTGGGCCTTGGCTTTTGAGGAGGCATGTTGGTTGCTACTTTTGAAACCAGATTTCTTAAGGCATATCAACTTAAAGTATGTTTTGGAAATTAAGGCCTTGAGCATCTGAGGTGTCTTCAAATGTATTGCCTCCAGGCCACCTTTGATCAGGATCTCATATGTCATAATGTTTACTGGCAATCTGAATGTGCCCGGGTGGAAATGCATCTCCTCTGGTGGTAATGGTAACTATTTAAAGGCTAAATTTCAGCAACATGCACATGTGTATGTGACCACATGAGAGGTGAATTCTAATGAATTGTTTGTAAAGAAACTATTTAGTGATAAGTAAACTTCCATCATATATCAGGTTACTGCAAGAACACTTGTTTTGGAAGTGTTTTAGGAATAAGCTGTTACTTCAAGAAGGTTGTGAATTTGATAGTTGTTGTGAAACTCCAGAGTCTTAGATTTGTTTGCATTTTAAAATAATCATATGGACCTTTTTTCAGTCCCTCAGTCTATTTGACCTATTCTTAAATGAGGTTTTCAAATAGTGAAGTTATAGACCAAGGATATTTTAAGGTATAGAAAACATGGCTGAATTGTCACAGTGTTGAACGGGTCATCACATCAGTGCTCAGTTCTTGGCCTTGTATCTGATATATGATATAATTTTGTTGGGTTTTGTTGGTAACATAGGGTATATATCTTCTAAATGTTAAAGCCCAGACAAAGCCACTAATGTTGCCAGTACTTTTTATAAAAAAACCAATGTCTTTGTTATTTTAGTATTTACTTTAATCTTTTATATTTATTAAAATAAATCGAGTTCAGGGGGAAAAATACCCACCAATCTACTGTAACAGGGTCTACTGTCAAGGTTTTTCAGTTGAGGCATTTTGCTAATACAAATACACACAAGTCAGTCATATTCAAGCAAAATACCCATATTGCATAGTTTTGCACTTTTTCTGCTTTAAACAAATTATAGTAACACTTTCTGGCTTCATTAATCCTCCCCCATTTGTTTGCAAACTAACAAAATATCACCCTTTTAGAGGGAGGAGGGTGGTTTTTTGTTTTTTTTTTTTAATAACAGCAAAAGAGAATCTTCTGTTAAAAAAAAATCCACCCCAGAAAGGTGTTCAGGAGGTGCATGATGGCTCAGGAGACAAAAGGTTGTGCATTCTCAATGCAAGCAGCACCACCGAGAAGTGCAAACACAACTGTGGGGTTTCCTTCTCGTAAGGACACCCCTGAACAAGTGCTTTGCTTTAAGATGTAGGTACGCTGTTTAAATGTGGGGTAAAGGGGGGAAGCATCCTGGTCTGGTTGTTCCCTGCCCTTTTCTTTGCTCACCTCAGTTCTGGGTGCTCTCAGACTTAGTGGCACTTTTTAGTGGCAACTTTGCAGTGTGACTTGGGGAGGACTATGACATGGAACAATGAATTTATTAGAAAAAGTGCATGACTATCCCAAATCCTTGCAGATTGAGGACTATGTAGAAGGAGGAGTGAGCTTTTGCCCAGTCTGTGCTAAACTTCTAGGTAGAAAGATGATGTTCTGCATATTGGGCAAATGATGTAAAGAAACAGTGGTAATGGTATCAACAAAAGCAACTTGGGGGCTTTTATCCATTTGTTATCCATTTGTGCAAGTTGGCAGCTTGTTGGAGCTATCTAGCTACTAATACATGTTATAAAATATATATGTTTGGTTAAAAGAGTTTCCATTTCTCCCTGGTGGGGACTGCATCATGTTTTAATTTCTGCAGTTGTTTTCCTAAGGCAAAGATGTTAGCTATTGATGCTTTATTGGTTCTTTGACATTTTTTCCACTATTGCCTTCATTATCATCTAACTGCTAACAGTCATGAGAGGAGGAATTGCTGAGTTGAAATCTGGGTGGTTTTCGTTGAGTCCTCTTTCTTCTCGACAATCTCTCTTACATCATGCTCAGTTACATGTTTGTTTCAGAAAAGAAGTTATCATGGAACTTGGTTACCAGTTACCTCTCAGATGAACACTTTTAAGAGTATTATATACCTTTATTCGACTCTAAAAAATCTGGAGGTTTTCTTAGAGTATTCCCACTCTTCAGTATGGCACTTCTCAAGGGAGGAATTATCTGGATGTGTCGACCACATGATTTCGTTGGAATCTATATCTAAGTATCTTTTCCCCATCATTACATGACCACTCCTGCTTTGGCAATGTCCACAATTACAAGAGAATTGCCACTGCAAGGAGCAGTCTAGCTCAGCTATCTAAAAGTCCACATTTCATTTCATTCTTACAAAATCTTTTATCTCTTTCAGCTGCTTTTGAAAATCCTTTCTAGTGTTTCCTCTTTTTGGCTTCATTTGGCTAGAAAGGATCTAACCATAATTTCATTTTTTTAGCATGTTGCAGCAAGTCATGTGAAAAACAAGTCTTGCTTTCCACACAGATAATAACTTCGAAAAGCTTATTTTAACCAAAATAATTCATTCTAGCTACATTTAATAACTGGATCATATGCTTTTTTAATTAAAAATTGTGGTCAGAGCAGGAGTCTTTTAGTTTGTTCTGGGGAGGTCTGTGTTCTGAGGTCTGCCCCCCAAAAAATCAACCAAAACCTTTTAAGTTTAAAGACTGAGCTTCTTTGACAAGCTAGATCTTAGCTTTGCTTTTGAGAGAAATGTCAAGATGCTGAAGCATCAGGACTGCTGGATGAGGAGCTTCAGACTGACCACTGTTTCTGGAAGTTGTACAGTGAACTTCCTTTGACCTGGCAGGGGGAAGGTTTTCATTCTGACTTTGAAATAGCTGTTAGATCAGTTCTGCAGGCTCTGCTGAAGAGTGTGGTGGCATCTCTAGGTGGGCCTTGGTTTAGAAGCAGGCACATGGTGCAGACCTTTGCTGACTGAGTGTTAGGGACTGAAGCTTGGGTGGGTTTGCTGTAGTTTTGGGGTGTTGTATTATCATGGTGCCTTGGATGAAAGACTAATTTCAAGCCATTTCTATTAAGATACTATGAAGTAGAATGCAATCACCAACATATGCTGATAGAAGAAATCTGCAAGGGTTTATATAAGTGTTTATAAGTGTTACTTTAAAAATACAGTCAGTCAGATATGGCAGTTTAAAGAAAAGGGCCAGAGACTGTAGAATGTAGTTTGTGCTGTAGGGGTGGGTGATAAGTTGGAAAAATATTTGTTGAGTCCTGAAAAATGTCTCCTAGTATCTTTAATATGTTTGGATTTTATTTCCTTTTGAAAAAGTATGAAGTGGAGTCTGAAAACGTGGCACATTCTGCCCCTAATGAATTTGTGTTGCTTTTTTATAATGAATATCATGTTTTCATCTGTGCAAGGAGAAACCTTAAAAAAAATTAACAAAAATGAATGCATAAGGGGTGTGTGTTTTATCTTTGTAGCTTTTGCAGCTGCAGACAAAACTGAAGGATTGTGTAGTGTTGTTGCATTTGATTTCCTGTTGGTTGGCTCTGAGCATTGGTTCATCTGATAATCACTCTGAAATCTGTTTCCTTAAGTTTAACCAGCAGGCACTGTGTCTGTCTGTTTAAAAGGTCTGATAAGTGATAAGGTGTGTTTCTCTGCTCAATGGGATTATGTTAAATATTCCTGAATAGAATTCTGTTCCATAAAGGTGATCTGTTTGAATGAAGCATTTAGTAGGAATAAAATTTATGTGGTTGGTCCAATGACACATTACAGCTGTTGGTGTAAAAAGCCTGACAAAAAAAAGTTGTCATCTTTTTAAAGTAACTTACTGTATATAGATGCGTGTGTATTATATACAATAGTATGTTCATACACGCATTCTTTGTATTTATATACATCTAAAAAGAAGAAACAGTGTTGAAAAAGAGGAGATAAATACAGTCAAAACTATCTGACAGCTATCGCTGGTCCCCCAAACTCCTAACATAAATGTAGTTTTTTGTTGTGAAAAAGACACAGATAGTTTATAATCTATTTCTTATACTCATGAAATAATTCTCCTTTTGATTCCACAAGTTAATTCCAGTCAGTATTGCAACTTAAATCACAATATGTCTTTGTTACTAATTGGTAAAATGTTACTGCTTAATAAAACCCAGTACAATTTTTTTTTTTTTATGAATGAGCAAGGTAATGCACACTGTAAATGACGTGTAACAGTTTGTTGATCACTTTAGCAATGAAATGCAGCTGAAAAAGTCTGCTTACTCAGGCTGGTCTTATTCTCTGAGGAAGCTCTGGATTTTAATGAAGACAGTCCAGCAGCGAGTAAACAAATTTATGGGCAGTTGCAAAAATGAAAATAAAATAAAATACAATTTACTCATTTAATATCAAGCTTTCTCTCTAAATAGTACAAATTGTGTAAGTTTACTTTTTAAACATACTTTTTATTTAATCTAGTTCAATACCAGATGGAAATGATGCGAAGCCTCCGCCACGTAAACATTGATCATCTTCACGTTGGCTGGTACCAGTCCACGTACTATGGCTCTTTTGTCACTCGTGCCCTCCTGGACTCCCAGTTCAGCTACCAGCACGCAATTGAGGAGTCTGTAGTTCTCATTTACGGTTAGTATGAGGTTTCCTTTATTATTCTTTTCCCCTCTTAATATTATTATTACTATTTTTGTATTCTGTCTTTTGCCTGTAAGAGTAGCCTGGCAGGCCTTTTCGAGTAAATACCAACCCTGTGTCTACGGCAGCCTCAGCAGCAGCTAAGTCTAGACAGGGTTTCCTTCTTTCTGTTTATTTTTCTTGCTATCAGAGCCCTGATGTGTACGTTTTGGAATGCTGGAGTAGCTGCTTCATTTTTATTCCTTCATCTCCCCTCCCTCGTGGAAGGGGCTGGTGGAACCCGACCAGATGTCTAACAAACCCCGCTTGCTAGCGTGTCTGGCTCTGTACGTGACTGACCAATCATCGCACGAATTGC